AATTGGTTGAGATCACCAAGTCAGTGAAAGTAGATGAAGAAGAGAAGGGGATCAAGGATTAAGCTCGGGGTCCCCCAAACTGTATAAGTTGGGACTTGAGGAGGGTCCAGCAAAAGGCATAGAGAAACAGCAGCCAATGAGGTGGAAGGAAAACCAGGTAAAGCCAAATTTAGGCAGTGTTTCCAGAAGAGCATAATCAACTGATCGATTACTGCTATTAGGGCAAATAAGATACAAACTGAGAATTAACCATTGGATTTGCAGCTTGAAGTTATTGGTGACTTTGACCAATTCCACTTTGGAGGAATGGTAGGGGATTGAGCTTGATTAGAGCAAACTCAAGAGAATGGATGGTTCTTCCTCTTCTTTTTCCTCTTCCTATTCTTTCCTCTTTCCCTCCTTCCCCTTTTCTCCCTTATCTTTCCTTCCTTTCTCATGGAGGCAATAACATTGCCGGAGGCGAAGAAGGCAGCAGTGTCACCTGCAGGGTCAGCGTGACTGGGACATTGTTTACATATAGGGGGATTGCACAGACAAGCAAATATATTGGGGATGATGGGAGTCAGGTATGTCAATTTAGGAAGAAACTTGAGGTGTTAGATTAGAATTGGAGGTATTGATATGAACTGGTGGTTATAGAGATAGTTGTGTACATAGCTATAGGTAGGTAGGTGGTCTGTGTACATAAATCTGTACATACATACACTGCATACATATTTCCTAGTTCTGTCTGTTGAGAGGACCTGGCAATAACACCAACTAGCAAGTAACACACACATATTATTTGAATCTCAGATAATTCTGAAAAAGAGTATTGTGTACATAGAAATGCAGCAATATGGTGTATTATTAACAATTGGGGGATTTTGGTTAAGGGGATGTGCATTACTTTGTATGATTCAGGCAAGTTTGAAATAATTTCTGAATAAATTATTTTAAGAAGAAAGAGCTGGGAGGAGAGGAACTGGAGGCAACAAGTACAGACTACACAGTGCTGCTCATATTGTAGGTCAGTGTTCACCTACAAACATTTGTTCCTACTGTGATGTAAGTAAGCACGTAGATAGTGAGAGTAGGTGTTTAGAAAGTTTTTTTTTTTTAAAGATTTATTTATTTATTTATTTATTATTTATACAAGCACTGGGTACAGTCAGAAGCACGGGATGGTGAGAGAATTCACCAGAGCCAGAGCGGGGAGCAGAGCAGGCAGAAGGACCGAAGTACACTGCTGAGGGGAGCGGCAGGCGGCAGGAGAGGTCTGCGCGCCATGTGGGACCCTCCTCCGGTGGCCGGGGAGCAGCTGGGGATCAAACCGGCGCTGCAGAGGCCGCGGGCAGCTTCGCAACCCAGCGCTCAACCGCTGCGCCACCAGGGAGGACCTTAGAAAGTTTTATGTCCATTTGATATTGCTGCAATATCCAAGTGTATGGTCAAGGTACAGACCACAAAAAGTCCACAACAGATTGGAAAAAGAAAATCCGATTTTTCACCACAGATAGTTTGGGAAGCACTGGAACAGACAACTCTGAGAGTCTTAATTTTATAGTTCAGAAAAATGAAGTTACTTTTTCTAGGATCACTCAGTTGGGATTCAAACTTTATTTCTACTGAAAGCCTAAGGTTTTCCATCATGTCATAGCTCGTGCCAGTGCCTCCCTCTGATGCCTCTCCCCTCCTTCCTCCCATCCTATCAATACCCTAACATGGTGGTTCTCTCTCCCCAGTCTCTGTGAGCTCCCAGGGGTGAGCCTCTGCCAATAGTTACTGTAACCCTAGCCACTCCTTTATCCAGTAAAGTATTTTTGAGCCCAATGCTGAACTGAACGCTGAGGAGAAAACAGAGAACAAGGCAGAGCCTCTGCCCTCATGGAGCTCACATTCTAGAAGGGAAGACAGAGAGTAATCCGAGAATCATGCAAAGAAACGTTAAATTACAACCATGATGAGCAGAGCCCAAAGCACACAGGACCTCAGGCCACAAGATGCTTTGGTCTCATAAGAGGGAGTTATTCTGAGGGTTTAGCAGAGCAGCAAGACCATCTGTTTTGTTTCTTCAAAGAGGTCTTTGATGTTTGGAAAATGGATTATCAGAGTGCGTGAATGGAAGAAGGGAGACCAAAAAGGAGATCTTTATGGTCATCTATGAGAAAAAGGATGGTGATTGGACTAATGTGGTGGACGAGAGTGGTTAAAAACAAAGATGCCAGGACATGCTGGCACCTTGGTCATGGGGCATGGAGTAGTGCTGGGGATGGGATACGGAGCGGGGCCAATCCTGGCCTCTCAGAGGATAGGGAAGAGCAGTGGGTTTGGGGCAGTGAAGGGGTGTTTGGTTTGGACCTGGAGCAGTGTAGTAAGCTGCTCGGTGAGAACTCAGGCCAAGGCAGTGACATCTGCCTCAACTTACCAGCAAAAAACATTCAAATAAGTCTCCTCTTTTACTTCCCTGAGTTCCAGATGGAGATGAGCTGTGGAAGAGAGATACCCTCAGGCTGGGGCAGCCAGGAAAGGTTTCTAGGAGAAGGGGAGTGTGTGTGTGTGTGTGTGTGTGTGTGTGTGTGTAGCTAGGGTTGAACCTAGCCAGAAAAGACTCAACAAAGAATGTCTGGCCCTCTTCTGAATCCACAGACTCAAATCTGAGGTGATGTGAGCCTCTTTTCCTCTGTCCTACCTGCTCCTGTCCCCTCTCCTGCATGTTGCCCACCACCAAGGGGAAGGTAGGCCCCAGGAATATTTGTAGCCCTCCTGGCAGCAGAACCCCATTGTAGGCCTTTGGGGCAGACCTGACCTTAGCTCAAACAAAGAATTTCTACTTTTGTCTGATTTTTATGTTGAACTCCCTGAATTTTTTTTTGAAGGAAGGTTTACAAGTTACATAAAACAGGAACAACCTTAATATCCACTGGAACGGAGAATGAATAAATAAATCATGGATTATTCATACTGAGGACGAATATACAGCAGTGAAAATGAATGAAATAGAGCTGCTGGGATAAAATCTCAATAAAACAGTGAGTGAACAAGAGGTAGGTTGCAGAAAGATACACAGAGGATGATGCTGTTTATATAAAGTCTAAAAACATGTGAAACAGTGCTGTTTGAGCATACACACTAGAGTGAGAAGTATTAACACATACATGAAAATGCTAAATAACCAAATTGGAATAGTGATTACTGCTGGGAGGTAGGGGAAGAGGGATGGGATCCAGTTGGAAAATTCAGGGGATGTTAAAGGTCTCCATAATGTTCTGTCATTTAAGCTATAGACTGGGGCCTCCCCTGGTGGCGCAGCGGTTGAGTGCTGGGCTGCAAAGCTGCCTGCAGCCTCTGCAGTGCCGGTTCAATCCCTGGCCTCCGGAAAGGGTCCCACATGGCGCGACAGACCTCTCCTGCCGTACCCGCTGTTCCCCTCAGCAGTGTATTTCATCAGTCTGCCTGTTCTGCTCCCCACTCTGACTCTAGTGAATTCTTTCACCCTCCCGCGCTTCTGACTGTCCCCAGTGCTTGTATAAATAAATAAATAAATCTTTTAAAAAAAAATCTATAGGCTGGGCGCATGGGCATTTGCTACCCAGCTGATAATATTTTATATCGTCAGTGTCATTTTTCACCATTGGTAATCTAGATGCAAGAGCAGTCTTGGGTCTGTTAGGTCCGGGTTTATATCACAGATTCCTAGGGGTGTGGCTGTCAGTATTTGAACAAAGGATTTCACTTAGTTAAGCCTCTTTAGATCTGTAAAATGGCATGAAGAGGTCTTATGGACTCTTTCCTCCTTCCCATCTTCCCTCGCTCCCTATCTCTCTCCCTTTCTCCCTCTCTCCTTCTCTCTTTTCTAGCCTTCTTCCCCTCCTTTCCTCCCTCTTCCCCTTTCTCCCTCCTCCCTCCCTCCCTCTTGCTCCTGCTTCCTTCCTTTCAATAGATATTTACTGAGTATCTGCTGTGTGGAAAATCTTGTAGAAGGTACCAGAGATAAGGTTCCTTGTGGAGCTTACAGTCTTGAGAGAGACAGACATGAGTCAAACCAATAAATTAATACAGAGTTGTGTACAATGCTGAGAGCTATGAAGAAAATAAACATGCTTCAATGATTGAGAATAACTGGAGACTTAGACTGGGCAGGGAAGAAATCTAAGATGCCTTGGAAGGGGAGGGAACAGAGGGAAATATGTCTGGCAAAGGGAACAGTGGAGCCAAAGTTCCTGAGATGGGAAAGCACATAGAGAGAGCACTTGGCATGTTGGCAAGGCAGGGTAGCTAGGGAGCAGCAGAGGTGTCATGGTGGAGAGGCTGGGGAGGATGTGTGCATAGTAAAACCCATTGCTTCTTGGGGCTGTGGTTGGGGTGATAAATGGATGTTTAAGGGTAGAAAAGGGACTTTGAGCCACAGAGAGCTGTAAAAAGCACCTCTGCAGTAATATTCCATTGTGTATATGTACCACATCTTCTAGACTAATTATAATAAAGTAAAAAGCAACAAGCAACTATAAACCAGAGACACACTTGGGGGGGGTGGGGGGAGGGGAATGGAGGGAGTAGGATCAAAACAAGGGGGAGTGGGAATTGTATGGGGACTATAACCAAGATAAAAATGCATATATTGTGCAAAAATGAAAAATTATGTAAAAAATATATAAAATTTTTTTAAAAAGCACCCCTGCAAGTACATGAACTATTGTCATTCAACCCGCAAGCATTTATTGAATACCTGCTTGGCACTGTGCCAAGCTCTTCATGCTAAGTCATGGAGCCTATTGTTCTTACTCTCCCATTTTCCCGGTGAGGGCAACCTAGACTCATAGAAGTGAACATTATGCAGTCGGTAAGTAGAGAGATTGAGACACACACCCAGACAGAGTCTTTGACCTCTTGGCCAAATTTGACCTCTTGGCCACACTGACTCTAAGTTTGTCATAAGTTCAAGATCCAGTTTAGACACTGCCTCCAAGATGCTGAGCAGCCGAATCCTAGGGAATTCATGGCTCTGGCCGGTCCACCAGGCCCCTCACCCAGAAGCTTCAGTGCTGACAATCCAGGATGCAGTATGCTTTGGACAGAAATCAGGTACATGGCAACACTATCAGTCACCTCCCCCCATTTTTCAGCCCAGTGCACTGACCCCAACCCCCACCCCACTTCATCACCATCCCTTGGGGCTTAGGCTCTGAATCCAAACAAACACAAAGCCAAATGACTTTCACTCTGTCCCTTCCAACTCAGTGATTTTGGAGGAGAATAAATACCGAAGCCACTGGCATGAATAGAAATTAATATAGAACCGTGCTAACTGCACAGGGATGTTTCTTAAAAAGAAAAATTCTCAATTTAAAATCTCCACACAAATAGACTCTTATAAGGTCAAATGAAAGATAAATGCCTCTGGAAAGCAAAGAAGTCATCTTTTGGAGTGAATTTCTCTCTCTCATTTCCTCTGCCTCTCTCATTCTGCCCCCATCTACATTTTTCTCTACCCCCATCTTCATCTCTCTTCTTATCTGTTACTTCTTTTTTTTTTCTGTGTCTGTGTTTGCATGTGCCACTCTCTCTTTTAGTACAGTGGCAGAATTTTAGCCTCAGGAGAGTCTTGGTCAAGTCATTTCTTAGCTTTGCACTTTAGTTTTCTAGTCTTCATAATAAGAAGTATAATCACTCCTTGCCAAGGACACTAAGCATAGCAAGATAGTCCTTCACAAGGGAAAATGATGCTTCCAACCAGGATGGGCACTTTTACTCACCCTCTGGGTTCAGGCCTGGAGGTTGGGCAAAAATTAGGACTAACTAGGCGCCATCTGGTCCCCAAGTAATGCCAATGAACCAACACACCAAATGGTCTTCTGACCTTGGCTTCTTTACTGTCAGCCTGATTCAGCCTAGGTTTATCCTAAGAAGATGATTCTGGTTAAAAAAAAGAAAAACAGGAGAAATTAAAAGATACTTAACACCTGGGGGGTTAGAGGCTAAAGGCTTGTTTTTCCAAAAGTGCAATAATAAACATACTGAATGGAAAAACAACCACATGACAGGTTTAAATTGAAGTCCTAAGGGACTGTGATTAGCAGAAGGAAAAGTTCCTTGACAACTAAGGGGGAGCAAAGCCCTGCGAAAACCCTATTGGAGTGGGAGGTGCTAGTTTGTGATCCTTTTAGGGCAGAGAATCTCATCTTTCTTATTCACCACTATCTCCCGAGGGCACCACAGAAGGCTTGGCTCCATAAATATTGACTGAAAAACTGACTTCATGAATGAGTGTATCTATTCTGGAAATCCTCTAAGATAAGACTAGACACCATTTTCCCCAGGGGATATGTTCATCACCATTGACTGAATGTTGAATATGTGAATTTTCTGCTGTAGATATTGCTGCTTCTGCCCAGGCAGCGCTTGTGGACCAAGTGGATATGGGAGGGGAAAGAGGGAATTTCCAGGATGGAGCAGAAAGCTGGACACCTGAATAATTCTTTGTCAAGTAGCTCTGGTATCTATGCCTGGTCGGTTTGAGGCATTCTGATTCTTGGAGGCAGAGGGTTGGACTGAAAGAATTACATCAGTCCATGTATCATCTTCTTCCAAGAGGCACTAAACTGGTGGACTGTGAAAAGACCTGGACAATGGAAGATTGGAAGTAATAATTTTTAAGTGCAGCAAATTAATTGGTTTGGAGTCTGGAGTCCTAGTTTATAAATTTAAAAGCAACAAGAGCCTTCTAACCAACAGGAGCTGCTCTCGTCATGCATGTATCACAGATTGGATATATTGGGAAGTAGACTTGGAGATGGAGGTCAATTTGCAGGGTATTTATTACAGAATGCTCTTAGGGTCAACACCTATGGATGAGGAGCAAAGAGGTGAGATTGGATGGAGGGAAAGAAAGTAGAGCTATGACACAGCCCTGGCAGAGAACTTAGCAAGTCCTGTGAATGGTTATGAAAATGGGGTGATATTTCAGAGTTGTTGAGAGTTGGGGTGAGCATCTGTACTGCACATTGAAAAGTTAATGGCTGCAGGCAACCTCAGGAAGAGGTGTTACCTTGAGTGAAGTAGTCATCTTCAGCGGAGGTTATAGGGGACTGACAAATGGTGGTTTTCTGCCAGTGGAACCCAGCTTACTGGAACAAATCCTTCGGTTCTAAAGGGTGATCTGGGTGCGCACTGCAGCATCACAACATGCTACCTCCATTAACACTAATCCTTATCACAGTCCTACAAACTAGATATTATTATCCAGTTTCATAGATGAGAAAAATGATTTTGGAGAGTGTATCAACCTCCCCCAAGCCACACAGCTAATGACCACTAGTTGATTCAACCCAGGTCTTTTTGTCTCTTAAGCCATTCCTTTTTCAACTATTCTTCACTCTTTTGATTCATTCATCCCACCCGAAATTCCACCTATTCATTCTGAAGACTTTGACAAATTACCCCCTCTCCTTGAGGCTCAGCATCTGTAAAATGAAGAGGTTAAACTGAAGTCCTAAGGGACTGTGAATACCTCTCCATCTGTAAAATGAAGAGGTTAAACTGAAAACGAGGAAGTTAAACTGTGTCTGAGATTCTTAACCAGGACTCCCACAAACCCCATGAAATAATAGGCTAATTTTGATATTGTGAACAAAATTTTGGGTTTGTATATTTTTCTGGATAGAGGGTCTTAAATGATTTTTTGACTTCCAAAAGCAGTTGAGACCCATCAGACCAAATGGTGCATAGCCCTCTTCAAGCACACTCAAGCTGAGATTCTGCATCTGTGAGAGCTGAAGACCACAGACAGCACCAACGCCATTCAGCACCATGGATAGAGCCATGACCGGCTGTCTTCCCCTGGAAAGTTCCACCAACTTTTACATTGACCCAAAGAATGAGTGATGGAAAATCCCTAACTGCCCAGAACCACTGGGATAGGAAGTCCTAGCCTTTAATGGACACAGATGGCTTTCCTTCCCTCCCCCCTTTTTGGCGAAAGGATCCCAAATGTTGCAATTGTCCTCACAGTGACATTCCCCCTTCCTGGGGGCCTCCCGTACTTCTCCCCTCCACTAGTGACGAAGAGGGTATTGAGCCGGCCAGTGGAGTATCCCGGTGACAGATTAGCACTGCCAACTACCGACACAAAACCATTTGGTGTGGGGAAATGATAGATGCTAACACTCATTTTAAACACAGGCAACTGAATTCCTGCAGACAGGCACCACGGCTGGAATTTAGGGCACAGCTGCTAGGTTCAGATAAGGTGCAGAATCAGCCCAGCATACCGCGATGTTACTTAATAATGAAAATGTGGTGATTGATGCTGCTGTCTTGAGGATATAACCTCCCCATTTGGAGGTTTTCAGCTCCCAAATCATCCATTCCACTTTTTTTTTTTTTTGTTGTTGTTGTTTTCTTTCTTTTTTCTGGAAAGATGACATGGGGGAGGGGTGATAAAGCACTGGGATGGGTTGTGCCTGGTAGAAGGAAACTCATGAGCCAAAAGAATTTGAAAAAGTCCAAAAAGATTAGTTTGAAAGAAGTCTAGCAAGTTCAACCAGGACAGTAAGTTCTTGAAAGACTGGGTTTGACTAGTTACTCTTAATATTATGTGGTCATGGTCTTTTTTTACTAATGCCCCCCCCCCATTTCTATGATGTCACAAAGAGCCAATCAGAGTTTTTGATACAGAATTTCAACTCCCACCCTTGCCTGAGCTAAGGAGATATGGGCTATCTATCTATTACCTCGAACAGTGCCCCCTAGAGGGCACTGTCTGGCATGTCCTAAATTGAGCTCATTATTCACCTTTCCAAACCTGACCATTTTTTCTTACTTTGGCAAGTGACAGTACCCAAGACAAACTGCTGGACATTACCCCAGGCTCCTCCTACTTCCTTGTCTCCCATGTCTACCACCCATCTGTTATGTTTATCTCCCAGATCACTCTCTTGAATTTACGTACTTTTCTTTACCCCCATAGCTTTTTTTTTTTATAGAGGCATGTTTTATTTATTTATTTATTTGTTTGTTTGTTTGTTTGTTTTGTTTATACATGCACTGGGTACAGTCAGAAGTGCGGGAGGGTGAGAGAATTCACCAGAGCCAGAGCGGGGAGCAGAGCAGGCAGAAGGACCGAAGTACACTGCTGAGGGGAGCAGCGGGCGGCAGGAGAGGTCTGCGCGCCATGTGGGACCCTCCTCCGGTGGCCGGGGAGCAGCCGGGGATCGAACCGGCGCCGCAGAGGCCGCGGGCAGCCTCGCAACCCAGCGCTCAACCGCTGCGCCACCGGGGAGGCCCTACCCCCATAGCTTTAAACAGCCTCACCCTGTCTCCCCTAAATCACCTCCTGGGTTTCAGTTAATGATTCCAATTTATCTTTCATCTTGGACATGAATAATTTTCCTCAACAGAAATATACCATGTTACTCCTCTGCTTAAAATCCAACAGTGGCATCCAACTTCTTAAAGGACAAAGTTCAGTTTCCTTATCTTAGCACCAAAACCGACATCTACAGCATATCCCTGAGCATATACCTCACTCTTTGCTGGAAACACATGAAATGCATGCTTATTTCTGTTTCCTGCCTTTGCACATGCTACTCCTTCTATCTTGTATGCTGTCCACCCCCTTCATCTACCTGAAAGGCTCCTCCCATTCATTCTTTGGACTCAAATGTTTCCTCCTTTGCTAAGTTCCCTTTACTGTCCTCCCCAACTCCTGACAATGTCTATTTCTCTATTTTTCTGTGATTTTGCAACCTAAGTCACCCTGTATAACATTTAGAGGTGTTCATCATCACCTCACTTGCTAGAACGGGGTTCACATCCCTGTTCCACTATGTATCAACTGTATAACCACAAGCAAGTCATACAATAACTTCTTGAAAGAAAAGAAGCCCTTGGCCACATAATATTAATAGTGACTGGTTATAAGGATTAAACGATAAATGTAAAGCATCCGGCATGGACTCTGGTAGACAGTAGGTGCTTATTAAATGATAATTCCCCATCAGGGAAAGATCACTAACCTAGAGCCCATGAAAGATTTGGGTAGTGCTTGTCTCAGGTCAGGGTCCTAGAAGCAGAACCTGAGGAAGATTCAGTGCACAAGATTTATTAAGGAAGTGGTCTTAAGAAAAACCAGTAAAGGTGGGAGAAAAGCAGGAGGGGAAAGAGAGGACAGCATGGATGCTCTTTCAGGTAAACTCTGCCTGTTCTCTTGGAGTCTCTGGAGCATAAATTGCATCTCAGGACTGTCCCTGACTTGAGACAAAGGGGTCAGCCTTTTGTACCCACTACTGTCAGCCACTACTGACTGTGAGCTACCCCAGATTAGGTGTGGGGGGAAAGTATAACCTCCCAGAAGAGGTGCCCTTGGTAAACTTTGCAGAGAAGAAGAAAGCTGTTGAGGGGCAGTCAGCCCTATAGCAACAAGAGATGCGTGCATGAGCCTGGAGAAGGAGGTCCGGACCCACCACAGTGTCATGGATTTCAGGGAGCTGTTCTTCATGGAACGAAGGCAGAGTTTAGACTTTATGTTTGCTTCATGGTTTAGTCACTCAATAATTCATATATTCATTAAAAGGATATTTATTGAGCATCTTCTATGTTCTAGGGACTTTACTAAGCCCTAGAGATACACTGGAGAGAGTGAAAAAAAGATCCCTTAAGGACCTCATAGTTTAAGAGGTTGACAGGTATTCATCAAATAATCATACCAAAATACAAGGCCTCTGAAGAGAGGGCATATTATAGAGGAACTCAGATCAGCCTGGTGTTAAGGAGGGCTTCCTAGAGGAAAGACTTTGAGGGTAGGTCTACAGGATAAGAGTTTGCCAGTAAAAGGTGGAGTTGTAATTAGGTGGGGAAAGGGGATATGTGTGTCTTTCTTTTTTTTTTTTTAAAGTGATTTTATTTATTTATTTATT